ATTTTTCATTCGTTTGCATGTCTTTCTTTCAATGCTCACATCGATTCTATTGATTTATCTCGAATAAGATTGATAGGTTAATCTTGTACTACGGTATTATAGTGGTTCTTCTAACATAGTTTCAAAAATCATTCGATAAATAGAGCAAAAAAAAAGATCAAAAAACAGTATATTTGATTCATCTATAAATTAGTTTATTTTCTCTGCCTACATTTCTTTTCACAGTTAGATAGTTAATCATTTCATTAAATATAAATAGGTTTTTCTTGAAAATTTAAGGATCAATCTACTTTTAAAAAGAATTTAATTTAAAGTCTAAATTTAATTCCATTGGCACCTTGAGTAATGTCTAGTGTCGACAAGAAGAGATGAGAGCAAAAAGGAGTATTTTCGAAGAATGTAGTCCACGGCAAGAGCGGTCTCGGGCCGACATAATGTAAAGTTTTGTCTTTAATGAAAAATGTTGCCATTTTCAACCAATTTTCTCATAAACGTCAAATTTTTTCACATGTTAATCAGTTTCTAGATAAATTCTAAATGATGTCATGAGTAATAGGCATTGATGTTGAAAATCCGAATAGCTTTTTGATGATACGTCAAATCGTTATAGCAGAAACGTTTTTGAATGACGACAGTAGCAGCTCCCGAGCATACGATCTCGTATCAAGCTTTGGAAAAATCAGCTAGCGAGCTGTGGATTAACATATCAGCTATTCAATAGTTACCTACAGAAATATGTTAATATAAAGTTACCTAATGTTGTCTTTTTTTACATAGTTCTATTCAGATTCAAAACCAAATAAAAATCAGATCTGAATTTCATCTACACATGAGCCTGATCTGAACTCAGATCTCGAAAGATTCGCAGCTCTCTAGTAATAAAATTCACAAGGTTACGAATCGTAGTAAGATGCAGATCGAGTTTTCTGCCAAATTGGACAAGCCCTGCGATGAATTTTTTCAAAGAAGGGAGAAGTTACCTTTCCGATCGCTATCTTGCGTTAGCACCGCCAATATTAATTTTATTTTCTAGAGTGATTATCTGGAACTAAAATTATTTACTAATTCAACAGATGATGAACAATATGTTAATGATGAACGACAATGTTTAATCAAAATGTTTGCTGTAAGTCTCTCGGCAAAAATGGCTGTCGAAATGATATTTTTTTATTTAGTTAACATGTAAAAATAATCGAGAATATCGTGCATTTTAAATTTGTCAATTAATGGATTCCATAGGTCTTCAATTAACAATTAAATATGCAACTAAGTCAGGAAAGATAACATTAGCACAAAAATTTATTGATGAATTAGTTGAACAAGGAAAAGATTAAGAACAAAAACAAAAAGATATTCAACGTTTTTCATCTCCATCACCTCCTCTTCCTCTTATGCCTTCTTATGCATCATCAACTATTTCGATTTCATGAACATTTGAAGATATAAAACAAACTCGACCGAAAGTTTTAACATTAAACGATCCATTTAATAATCCATTTTGAAAAAAGATTTTGACAAATTCTATGAATGAAAGAGCAACAACAGATGAATTTAGTAAATGGAAACCATCAATCAATAAATCTCGTCTTTCATCAACAAATAAAACAACTATTCAGGTAAGATGAAATTATATTCAAAGCAACAGTGGTTTCGCCGAACTATGGCGTTGGAAAATTTTTTATATTGTCTCTGCTCTGAATAATTCTTTACCCGTTGCGTCCCTTCACCTCATTTGACTTTTCGACTGTGTCTGGAAAAATTTTGGTTACTGTCTGCGAAAAAAATTTATCCCTCCCACTTCCGAAAACTATCGAAAGTCTTAGTTGACGAAATCTTTTGAATTTCTTACCTCTGACCATCCACATCGGTATGATAATTTCCTTATCCATTTCTCGCTTCATTCAAATTACTTCAATGATTCCTTTAATTAGGATGAATCCCGATTGTTTTATTATGATTATTTTTCATATTCATCCGAGTTTCTAATAATAACTATCTGCTGCTTTGAAATAGGTTTTTCACATTGAAATAGATCTTCTTTCGAAGATTTCTTTTAGTTAGAAACTTCTACTTTTTTTTTTTGGGCAAATATCTTCTATACCACCTGATGCTTCCTCCTATAATTAGGATGAAATAGCGATTGTAACAGTTTTTTTTTTTCATGCCCATCCTTATTCTCACCCTCGAATTGTCTTGTTGCGCTTCAGCGAATAATCTCTTTGTCTATCGATAAGAGATGTGCTATCGTAATACATTCTCTCTCTGTACATATATGTTTTGAAAGAAAATATCTAACATCGAGGCATCGATTAGTATATTTTCTTTGTTGAAAATAGAATGAAGGGAAGAAAGAGAAAGAAAGAGAGAGAAATGTGCCTATAAAAGCTGCGTGCATCCTATAACATTTTCGATTTCATCGTTTAATATACAATGCCTTCACGTAAACGATCATTACAAAGAGTAAGAATACATATATTGTTTATGACTATCTTAAAATATTGATTTGTTTGTGGTCTAAGTCCTACATGTTTCTTTTTTTTTAGAAACGACGTGGACGAAAACGTCCATCTCGACCTCGATCTCCAACTCCACCACCAACTCCACCACCAACACCATCATTATTTTATCGAAATCGTCTTTGTAAGTATATACATATAGAACGTATGAATGGTTAATGTCTGTCTTTTTCTTTTAGTTTTTACTCCTCAATGGCTGAACAATGATCGTAAAGATTTGTTGCTTTGGTTGACTTTCTTCTTCATATTCGGATGTGCAATATATATGATGTTTTATCATCCAATCAAAGATGATGGTACATACTTCCAATTCGAAATGAATACTCTTGATCCAAGATAAATTAAGTCAAGTTTTTCAAATTCAGTTTTGTCCAATGCACGTATTTTTTTTCTCTTAATTATTGATATATTGGCAAAATACGTCTATATAGATTATTAAAAAAAAAGGAAATTTTTGTTTGTTTGTTTATTTTTCTTGTTGACATTTCCATTTATTAAAATCAATGTTTGTCTTTTCTGTATTGTAATGATGATTTGTATTGTCTTTCTTTAATAGTATCGTTCATGGTGATGATTCTCCAACATATATCTTTCTCAAAAAAAAAAAAAAAAATTTTTTTTTCTGTGTGTCTTTCGCTTGTTTTTCTTTATGTTGTTGTATAATATATAGTATTCTTTCTTTTTTGTTTCTATATATTTGGTCACTTTTCTTGTGTGTGTGAAATAAAAAAGACAAACAAGAAAAAAAATGAAATGTTTTATGATAATTTGCATTGATCATTGTTTGTAAGTTGATGTGTTAGTTTGAACCTTGTTAATATAGCTGGAGAGTGTAAGAATAGCGAATCTTTGATTATACTTCTATATTATTAAATTAAATATGAACTACAAGACGAGTGATTTAGTTAGTATTAGTTATGTGTGCATAGTATATACGATACGGTATCTATGAATTGAAAAATCAAATTTATAGCATCATTTCTTTTTCTGAACGTTTCATGCTAACTACGTAGATGTCGCATCGTTAGATGCATTCGTTTCTAATTGGTATATCTGATCACACTTTGTCTCATCTGAGAATATACAATTCATAGTTCAATACATAATATGTGTCGCATAGTTCTGCCTCAAAGCATTGTTGATGTACGTAAAAAGTTTTTCTACATAAGACTTCTCATGTTTTTGGTAAACGTTATTGATCAGAACTGGAAATCCTTCCTAAGTGTTTTGTTCTCATTTATTTTTCGTCGATGTTTAATTGAATTGTATCCTCTTAATTAGATACATCTCCATTCGTAGATCATATATTCAGTTTATATTTTTGCTCATCTATTTTCTCCAATGATTATTTGATATAAATTGATACATTTCATCTTCTGATTATGTGATCAACTATGTTTTATAGTCTATAAAAAAAAATTCAGGATTTCTAAAGTTCCTGTGAAGCGCATATAAATTTTCAGTAAATTATATCAATGAATAACTCTTCTTTGATTTAGGACGAATCTTCAGAAGAAATATTCGACGATGATGATGATGACGATTATGATGATGACGATGATGATGACGATGATGATGATGATGATGATGATGATGATAATAATAATATAGATAATCTTAATCAACAATCCCATTTAACAACACCTGCTTCTAGTATGTAATAAAATTTGATATATATGTATTTAGTTTAATTTTTTTTGAAGATCCCGAAGATTCACTCATCGATATCGTCTTCTTAAAAAAACTAATATCGGGCGGCATAGTGAGTGCCTTTTGTGGTTGTGTGATAGGTCATCTTTGCCTAGTCATAACAGGAAAAAATTAACGAAATACCGAAAAATACAAAATCTTAGTTTTTTGTGATTCTACAACTTTTTCTGGCAATAAAACATCTCTTATGATTGAATAAATACTCAATTTTGATATTTCAAACTCTAATCGAATGGTTTTGCTTCGATTGTACTTCTCTATTATGAATGTAGTGATGTCTATTGTCAATATCTATGCATTTCGATGAATTTTATGTAGTGAAAAGCGGCAATTCTCATGGCATGATTATTATTCAAAATCGTGCATTGAGGACAAATCGACCTGAGGATTGTCCGTGGAACGAATGAAATTGAATATAAAAGCGAAGTATGTAAATTATCTTTGCACTTGTAGACAAGAAACATGCACAAAATGAAAAGTTCACATGTTCTATTGATTTAACTTCAAAGAGGGAATAATCTTATACCTTGCTGTTCGATTTCAACTAATGTATTTCATTTAAAAGAAAAATTTAATATCGTCTGATTATATTTTGATGGTTCAATGGAATATTTCGACCAACAACAATTTATTTAGTTTTTAGATGTTGCAATAAATAATCCTTTGTAAAAATCTCGTTTTATACTGAATAAATAAAGTTGATCTGACGAGTTGTTTTAATTATTTAATATTGATCTATGATGGATATTTTTAAACATGTGAATGACAATATAAATGTGTTAAAAATAATGTTATGAAAGATTGACTTGACAAAAATCCGGCCGTGGATCGGAAAAATTTTACGTTAGACTATCTAAATATACAGAGAGCTCATGATAGTCTACTTATATACAATTTTCTTCTTCGCATACCCCATAATAAAGTTAATCTAATTGGACATACTTTAGCAGTAATTATTTTTTGTTTTTGGTCAATTACAAGAATGGTGAAATACAATATGGTTCATTTTTATATTTGCGTTATTGAACTTGAGTCCGATTGACTGAAATAAAATAACTATTTAAGTGAAATTGATAAAAAAAAAGATGGTTTTATATTAATAAAATTATCCATTAATTTACATGATGCATGTTAGAATAAGCATTTCTGAAATCAAATCTTCTCTTTTGTTATGCAAAGTCGATATGAATAAGTTTTTTTTTCTGTAATTAATTTACAACATCAAGATTTTTCATTAATGAATTTATATAAGTTATCAAAAAGCTTTTAAATATAATTTCTTGATTTGAGAATATAATTTCTATCCATAGTAAAGCATTATTTGTTTCCTCTTGATGTCTATTGTTTTATGTTAATTGATGAAACTGACCCAGTTAATTAAAATAACACGAACATTCAAATAGTGATCAAAATTTTCCCCGTTGAAAATGTTTATAGATAATATTATTACTGAAGAACTAAACTATGTTTTTTTCGCAGATAAATAATTATATCCAAGGTATCAAGAATGATGTTTTGATGTACCGCAAGTGTTATATGACAAGCACAAAAGCATCAACTGATTAAGTTTTAGCTTTCGGGAATAATTAATTTCAATCTTTCTGAGTTCATCAAGATACATCATAGATCGTCTATAGATTTAACGAATGTGTACAATAGGCTTATTTGTCCATTAAATCAATGGTTAGACTAATAATAATAAATTATGAAAATGAAATACAAAAAAAAAAAGAAAATAATTACAATATAGCACAGGTCAAAAAAAAAGAAAAAATTTGTGTTCGAAATGTAGGAATAAAAAAGACAGTATTTGCTGACAATCGATTATCGTTGGAAAAGAACTATCGTGTTTTAGAGATTTTATACTTTGCGTTTTTTGTATTAGTATAATGAATCTACAGGAGACATATAAGTTCCACATTTCAGTGCCAAAGAGAAAGCGCTAACAAGCTGTTTTGAGAACTTTTTTAAGCCAAGTCGTCACTAGCTTCTTCATCATTACGTTTTCGTGATTATAGAAAAGATATATCTTTTGAGAGAAATTAATAAATTAAAGTGTCTCCTATTACATCTGACGTAATGTTCTTTCATTGTGGCGATGAATTAAACTAAAAGCAATATTTATATCATAATTGATATTAAGAGTTTTTTTTTCTGGAATAGCGCGTCTGTTGAATAGATTTTTATTTTTCAACAAAACAAATAACAATTAATTGTTAACAATCACAATTATTTATTATCTACGGAAGATGTATCTTGCTTTGTTGTTTCCATTTTTTGTTTCTAAAAAAAATAAATTTATTCAACAAGAAAAATTCAACAAAATTCTTTTCATTTTACTTTTTCATTCGATTTATTATCATATAATTTATCAACTTGTTCAACTTTATTTCTTACTCGTTCATTTAACTAAATCAAATCTTATATAAATAATTTCAATAAAACTTTCATAATAATCATACTCGTTTTAAATTAGTTTTCACAGGTTTGGGTTTTTTATTATTTTGTTGTTGTTTAACTTTTGCCTTTTGAGCAATAGCACGATTTTGTTTACCCATAATAAAATCTATAAAATACTTCTTTTTTTGTTTTGTTTTCTTTTTATTTATTAAATATATATATATATTTTTTTTCTTGTCATTATTATCAAAAGAAAAAAAAAACGCATAAGATATATATTTCTTATAAGAGAATAGACATCAACAAAGAAATCATAACAAATATCTTATTGTCATATTTACAACGAAGCAAACACTGTTCTAATCGGATTATGCATACAGTAGAAGAAAACAAGTAAATAACAACAAGAAAGAAAATATTTTTTTTTTTCTTTTATGTTTTTTGAAATTCAAAATGACTAGAGAGAATCCATCTGTTGCACGTTAAATATCATTTTATGTATTTGAAGACGTTTACATGGATTATCATTATGAGATAATAATGTTGTACGTAAATGAGATATTACATCATATCGAATTGATGTTAATAACATACCAATCAATTCATCTAAAAACAAAAAAAAATAAAATAAATTTAAACAAAACAAAAAATATATTTTAGAATTTTACCTGGAATTTTAAAATCATATTCATATAATATTCGATTTATAAATTCATTATTATTTAACGTGCGTCGATTAAGCATTAAGGCTATTTGAGTATAATTATTATTTAAAATTAAATTCGAAAGATTTTTTGAAAGTTCAACTAGAAAAAAAAAGAAGTTAAAAAAAGAATATTATTTGCTTTGAAACGAACTTTGCTCGTTTGCTATTTGAATATCTTTATCAATATCCGATTGATCTTTTTTTAAGAGAAACCATATTTGTATAAGTGTAAGAAATTTTGGATGAACAAAATTTATTCGAAATGATAAGTAACAAAGATTATTTAATAAATATTCAGCAATATCTAAATCAAAGAATTTACATGAAATATTTATTTAAAATTCATAGAAATCTTTTTTTACCTTGATTACAATTCAAATATTTCATTATTTCATTAAGACAACGTTCAAAAGAAACAATAAATGTTTCATTCGAACAACATTTTGACCAAAATTCAATAATCGATTGATCACATTGAGATAATGCTAGATGAAGAAAATCAGTATCTTTTTTTTTTTTGTATAGAATTTTTCTATTAGATCAAATCTATTTGAAGGAAAATATTCAAAGATCGATTGATTATTCTTAATGGTGGAAGGAGGCTTGCGAGAAAATCTCTTCAGGTGTGAAACTGTTTATCCACCGAAAGATGATGTTAATTTGATGAGTACTAGTGAGTAACAGAAAAGCCTAGAATGATTTGATGTTTTGGATCTTCGTTCTCGAGATATCGAAATTTTACTGAGATTTTCAACAGAAAGCTGTGATCCTGCTCAAATCACGCGAAAAATTGGCATTCGACTTCTAGCTTTGTATGACAAAAGTTCACAATAAGATTAGTTGATTGAGCAAGTTGTAACTTTTCTGTTGTCTCCTATCCTGAAATATTGAATATTTGAAATTTTCTCATGTGTAAAAGAAACCATTGTTCATATGTTTACAACTTCAGCAAGGAAATACTACTTGCACAATCAACTAATCTCATTGAGAACTTTATTCCTGCAGAGTTTGAAATCGAAATTCAAAAGTGAATTTTCTACGTAATTTGACAGGAAGCACAGCTTTTTGTTGAAAATCCCAGTAAAATTTCGATATTACAAGAACGAAGGCTTCGAAAACAAAATCATTCTCGACTGTTCTATTACTTACGAGTACTCATCAAATGAACATCGTTTCGACCGAAAAGCAATTTGCCACTTAGAAAGATTCTCGCGTTAGTACTCCTCGAGTCGAAACGATCGGGACCAGCCATTCTTGGTCCCAGCCGCACCGCGATTGAGACAATCTTGACCGTATCTAGGCCTATCATTAAACTTTGGAAGAGTATAACGGTTTTCAGCTTAAAACGCTGGCTCAGTTCTTCCTCGAAACTTTTTTCTGGCTTAGATACTAATCAATGTTCAAGTATCGAATTGATTGAAAATTAAATAATGCCTTAATGAATCATCCTCGAAAACTATTTTTAGATAAATCGAGCTGATTTTTCATATTTTCTATATTTAGTGCACAAAAAGAATCATGTGTTTATAGGATGCAATTGTTTGTACTCTTAGAATTTTTTTAAACGAAAATTGAAGTGGTATTTATTAAAAGAGATAGTTTTATCACCAAAAATGCATTTATAGTTTTTCTCTATTGCTTACACTTCTTCACCATACAACTGATTAGAAATCTTAAATAACTAAACATTTTTCGAATTAAAAGTTTCAACTAATAAAATAAACAATCTTCTATTATATTTAAGAATTTGTTTCTTCTGAGATAAATCATAAGAAAAAAAAAGAAAAGTAGATCTACCTTGTTTAACATCTTGTACTTGATTTTCACACCAAGATATAGCCATATTCAATTGTTCATATTGTTCATTAAGACGTTCAAGAATAAGATTATCATCAGATTTCGAACGATTTTGAATATACTATTAAAAAAGACAAAAATAAATAAATCAATTAATTATAAAAACAATTTTACATAAAGAAGAATTAAAATTCGATTAAGTATATCAATAAAAATTGTATTAATTGGTTGATTAATATTGGATTTAAAATTTTCATTTTGTTTTATATGTTGTTGTTGTTCACCTTCAAAACCTGAATCAATTGTTTTTAATGTATCTTCATCATCAAATGTATTTAAAAAATTAAAATCAGTAAGAATATTTTCAATTTCTAATGTTTTTTCTGTTTGTTCATGTATTTGATTTTTAATTATTTTATCTAAATTATTTATAATATGTTCAATTTTATCAAATATTATTGAAAATGATCGATCAATAAGACGTAAATCATCTAAACATGTTCGAACTTGATCAATAAGTAAAACAAGTTCATAAATTGATTCATTTTCAACTTCTTCTTCTTCTCCTCCTTCTGCTTCTGTTTGACAATAATCAATTGATGCTGCTGATGAAATTTCATCTGAATTTAAACCAGCAGCAAATGATGATGAATTTGATGAAGAATGAGTATCATCATGAACATGAATATTATCACAAATCTAAATAAATAAATAAATATTTGAATAAATAAATAATTTAAATTTACTTCTTCTTTTGGTATTTGTTCATATTTATTTTCTATATCAATTTCATCATAATGATTACTTTCATCTGTTGTTGAATTATATGTTACATATTCATTAGTTTCTTGAGAACTAATTGGACAAAATGTTGATAAACGTTTAGAAGAATATTGAGAAGAAGAAGAAGAAGGAGAAGAAGATGTAAGTGTATCATTTACAGTTCGAAGTAATGTTGTATTTCCAACAAACATTGACCATGTTCGTGTTACATCGGAATATGTTCGATTTGGATTATAAAATGTAAATTTTGTATCAACTTGATCATAAAGACTAAATAAATAGATAATAGAATTTTTATTCAAATCAAATTAAATATTTCAATAGTATATCATAAAAGTTCTGCAATTCGAATTATCTCATATTCACTAAACTATATTTTATAGTCTCTCATAATGATAAAATAAATTGAAAATTATTTTAATCAAACAAAAATTTAATATCCTTATCCTATTTGATTAATGGATTGGATTGTTTCTTATTAATAAAAGACAATTTATAATTAGATATTCAACATAACACGACTGTTGTACTCTAGAGACATGCTTCCATAACGTTTGTTCTTCGATAACAGTTGCTCGTATAATATTAAAGTAACTTATGATGAAGGATAATGACAAGCTGAGAACGAGCTCTATATCTAATTTCTTCATTTTTCTAATTGATTTATTGAATGCTCGTAATCTTAACTAAAAGTATTATAGGAAAATAAACATTGCGGAAGCATCTGTCTGGAAAGTAACAGTTGTGAATTTGATATTCATTTATTTGAAAGGTCATTATTGACCTTTGTGTAAAAAATAAAAGCACATATATAAATATTCTTCTAACTATCAATAACGAATCATTGAATTTTCTTTTTATCACTTTCCAAAAGTTAATCCTTTAAGCACCAGTATTCAGAATTAGGAATATTTTTTATTCAAATTTCTTTATTTTTTGAATAACTTGTGTATATGCAATGAGATCGAGATGTCGTTTTCGCTATAAAATAGAAGCTACTTCAGTGCATACATCCATGTAAGATGCGTGATACTGTTAAACTCAATCAAGTAATGAATCAGATGAGTCTGTTAAAAAAAACTGGTAAGCGTGATCCCCACGAGATTATTTTACTCTATCTATTTTGGGACACATTTCTTCACTGTCTTTTTAATCAATCTTCCAGAAATATAACAAGAAAGTAGTTCGTATATAACAATGAGTGTTATTGATATATGATCTTTGATCGTGTATCAACATTGTCTGTGAGGGCAGTGAGTGCAAATTTTTACTCCTATACTTCAACACTCCTTTTAGATCATATTTCACAAAACTACTAATACATCATTCTAAAGATAACCATATTCAAAAAGTCGGACTGATTCTAATTTGACATATGTTGATTGCTTGTCATCGATGACGCATGACAGTGATTGAAGAAGGAAAAAACTAACTAACAAAAAAAACAAAAACGAACGTTATCATTAATAAATTCAAACAGAGAGAGAGAGTGGAATAGATCATCATGAAGGAAAATATCATTTGATATATCAAATAACAAGAAGCTTTATTTTCCAATTGTAAAAAGTTTTCTGTATGTTAATTATCTTTTGATAATATTATTTAGAATTATTAATTTAATTGAAAAAAAAAAACTTACTCCCAATTAGCTAAAAAAATTAATTTAAGTGTTCCACTTTGATTTGCATTAATAATCATACGTTGTATTTCCATTGAATAGAAATTATTAACTTCAAAACATTTTGTTCCAATTGTTTTTAATGAAACACCTAATAATTTAACTTCACTAATTTTAATTAATAATAAATCAGCTAATTTAGCGTTTAAATGAAATATTTGTCGAGTCCAATTTTGTTCATTTTTATCATGTTTAAGTATTCGACCACGTGTTTTCCATTTTGTTGTCCATAACGAATAATTAATTCATATTCATCTCCAGGACATATTCGAGAAAAACCACTTATTTCTTGTAAATTTAATACAAATGTACCTAACATTGCTTCTAATTGAGCTTCAATTGCACATAATGTCTATTATAAAGATATTCAAAAATAATTATTTTGTTCTCAGTATATTAATTTAATAAAAATACAAAAATCAAATTCAACAATTATTCTAAGAAATTAGTCTATATCATTTTTCATTATGATTGAAAAAAAAAGCTAAAGAAATGGTTTATTAGTGGAAAAAAAATATATATACCTAATAATTCTACTATTCATACTTTAAATACAGAAAGTAATGTGATTTTTTGAAGAAAAAAGAAAAGAAATTAGTTGATGAACATTATTCAATTAGAAATATTGAAGAAAATAACTTAAATTTATAATTTATTCATATCAGATCTTTACGATTATATACAAGTAAAACGACAATATCAAAATTGCGTTTTCTCAAAAAAAGATTCCTATATCGAGGAGACATTATTCAAAATCTCTGAAACTTGTAATGAAACCAAGTTTAATTGAACTCTTGATATAAGTATAGTTTTAGGTCAAAATTCGAAAACATAGCGTTCCTAGAAAATTCACTAAAGAAATTGATATCTCATGAGGGAACTCCTCTAGGTGTCAAATCACTTTTCGACCAAAATATCAAAATTTTACTAGGGTTTTCACTAAGAAGCTATGTCTCTTCTCTCAAGTCACATAGAAAACCGACGTTTGACTTCAAACTTTGTTCGTACAAAGTTTGAAGTCGAAAGCTAATTTTCTACATAACCTGAGAGGATCACAACTTTTTGTTGACAAAACCAGTAAAACTTGTGATATCTTGAGAATAAAAGTCTGAAAAATAAATTATCTATTATTCTCTAGCACTCATCAAATGAACATCATTTCAGTTTAAAAAGCAATTTTACATCTGAAGTGGTTCTTCCATCAATCGAAAAGACCTCGAGCAAAAGGTAGTTTTACACTTGACGAGACACTCTCTCTCGTAAGTAATTATGCAGATACTATAAAAAAATCAGATTATGAAAAAGTGAATATTTTAAATAAAAACTAACTTTAGTGCATTCTTTGAGACCAAGTTTAACTTGATCAATTCAATCTCGTCTTGTTGTAGTTTGTTGATATGCATTAAACATTGTTCTTGCACCATCAAGCATATGAGCATAACGACAATAACATTCTTTTAAACTTTGTAATGAAGCTGTATGAGCTTGTAATTTTAAATAAGCAACTTGAGATTCATGTAATTGCTTTAAAAAAAAGAAAATTGAAAAAAAAAATATTTTTTTTTTTGTGTCTTTTATAGAAAAATAAAATATATTTATACGTGCTAATTGATGATTTTCTTTTTCAACGGATTCTATAAGTTGATCAATTTGATATTTTGATGTTCGACTATGTTCTTGTAAGACTTTTAAAACATTTTCAAGTGTATTTAATGTACGTGTTATACGTGGAATTTTTGGTATTTGTGTTTGAGTTAATTGTGCTTGTTTTTTTAAACGTGTTAAATCAATTTGTTCATGACCGAGTATATCCGCTAATAAAGAAACTAAAAAAAAGAAAATATCTTTTCATATATATTTTATTGAACTCTTACGTATCGTATGTGTATTATTATTTGTTGGCATAGTACGTTTATTAAATGGTGTTAGTCGATTTGTTGACATTCTTCTTTTTTTTCTAAAATACATAAATAGAATAACAAATAAAGAATGTAAACCAACCGCTTATCTCTTTCTTTTATGAATAATGATCATGCATGTGAATATGTAACTTTCTGCGATAATGTTTTAGCTCTGAATGTATAATCACTTGTCATTGAGAGGCAAATTTTTTGTTACATCACAAGAGGGTGTAGACAGATGAGATGATGCTGATGGAAAGCACTGTATTGCAGTCAACCACTCGATTCTTCACACTTGTTCTGCTTTCTTTCTTTTCTATTGACAATGATGAATGATCTTCATGGACATATGAATAAGTACCTCATTCAAACATAAAACAAGACATTGAACTTTCAATTTTGCATCTGTGCTATTATAAAGAAAAAAGAATGTTATTAACAAATAACCTTAACAATCGTTTACTTAAAAATATTTTTATTTTATCTGATCGACAAAAAAAAAAGCCTATGCTTATGATAGTTCATATTTACATGATTAGAATATTTCCTTTTTACGAAGGACAAATAAATACATATGACCTTGTCAGATAATCAATACACATATTTCGATCTTATATTTCTATATTCGTTTGACTAAGAAATTTTTTTTTCTTGTACCAACCAATGATCACAAACAATTTGCTCAGATCTTTTCACACTTGCTCACAAGGTGACTAAAAATGACATCCCCAGGTGCAAAAATCGTACGAGGATCATATAAGATCTTATACGATCTTACTGACAATTAGATTTTGTAAGATTCAGATTGTATGATCTTACGAAATCTTGCAAATTTCTTGTTCTAAGATTTAATATGATTCTTATTATAAGATGCTAGCGTCAATCTTATATGATTCTTGATATAAGATTCTTGCAAGATCTGAGGATGGGAGTCTTGTAAGATATTTTAGGATCTTGTCAGACCATAATTTTAAGATATTTCTCATGCAAACTAGTTTTTATAACGGTAGGTTTATAGATGTAGATTACTACACGTGTTTAAGTGATGGAATGCTTCCTAATAGAAATATAATTTCTTTTTAAATTGCAAATACACGTTTTGTATACAGCGATGCTTATTATAAAAAAAGCACACTACTAATCAATCTGATTTGACTTGATTAAGTTTATTATTGTTTTGACTTTTATCTTGTTAAATTCATTTTATCGTTTATTCTTATTGAAAAAAAACATTTTTGTATTTATTTGTAAAACTGTAAGTAATAATAATTCTCTAGTGTAGAGGACACGTAAGCTGACAATGGCTAATATAGACTATATATATGAGCGAGAAACCGTTACATTCGTCTTATATTCTGGTATGGTGGAAGAAATTGCACGTCATATATTTTTTCAAAAATACAACTAGGCTTTTTATATTAATTTATAATTCTTCAAAATTATCCAGTTTTGTTTTAGATATTTGAAATTCGTATCGATCTTATTTGGTCTTTTTGGTTTCATCGACTGAATTTCGATATTTCCGGGTTTATTTTGACTCAAACTAATGATGAAAAATATTATTTTATTTTACTTTCAATCAATGTGAAAGGAGTTAGTTTCATTTGATGTATACGCTTAACTTATTTCAGTTAAGTTATAATTAATCTAAGAAGATTATCTATTTATAGTCAAAATAAAATGAAAGCAATTTAATGCAACTATACTTGTTTTACGACAAAATAGATTTACTTTCATAAGATTATTTATTTGATAGTCTGGGAAAATAAAATAAATTCAAAGTGAAGAGATTTATCTTACTTGAAATAAAGTTAAACTAATAGAATTATTGCATTTATATTTTTTTTAATACAAAATTAATATTCAATTTGATAATATTATTTAGAATTTACATTATATTGAACTAAATTAACCTAATTTTATCATTTTATTTTATTTCAATTGAAATAAAATTAACATACTAGATTTTTTCTACAATTAAATTAAATTATTTTATCTGATCATTTCAACTAACACAAAATAAATATAATAAAATTATTCATTTATGATTAAAATAAAATCAAGGAAATCTTATCCAATATAATTTGGTTAAAACCGTTTTCCAAACTACAACTTTGTAATTAATTAAGTCAATTTCAATATCGAACTCTACTCTATATACTAGTGGTCGATTATTCGAGGACGAGCTTAAAATTAACATCAAACCGAACTGTGATCTGTTTTTGATAAAATTACGCATTACTCATTGCGTGTTTTCATGTAGAAATGATAAATATTTTTTTTATTTAAAAATAAATTTAGTCTGAGACGAAGTAAAATGATAAAAATTTCGCGATAAATGTTTTCTCTTGAAACAAAGAGTTTGAAGAAGGTAACTCAGCCTGTTGAAAAATCAGGTAGAGGTGATGAAAAGTGCAAGAATATCAATCATGCGATGCATTCTATAGTTGTATAGAAGCATGTATGAATAATGCAAGATCTTATGAGATCATACAATAAGATCATATAAGAATCGTACAGTACGATGTGATCAGATGTGCAGGCTTTACGACTATCTTATAAAAATCATACAAGATCGTATATGACTTTTATACGATCTTATATGATCATATAAGATTTCACAGTAAGATCTTGTAAGGTATTGCAATATCGCAAAAGATCTTATTGTCGGATTCTTCGACCTGGGTCTGTATCGTATTATTTTCAATTAATCATTTATTTAGAAATTTTTTTTTATAAATATAATTAACAAAAAAAAAAAAGAATTTCTTTTTTACGAAAAAAAATTTGATTCAATTTTCAAGAGAAAAAAAAATGGAATCATCTGACTCATATTCCATAAAATACCATAAATAATCCAATAGTTATATTATCTTGTAAAATTAAGCGATAAACTATTCGAGTCTATACCTATCAAAGATGATGATCAAAGTGAAAACATTAACTGGCAAAGAGATTGAAGTTGATATTGATGGAACAGATAAAATCGAACGAATTAAAGAACGTGTTGAAGAAAAAGAAGGTAGCAAAATAGTTTTTCCAGTTTAGAGAACTGATTTTGATTTTCTTGTTAAATAGGAATTCCTCCACCTCAACAACGTCTCATATTCGGTGGTAAACAAATGTTGGATGATAAAACTGTCAATGAATATAATGTTACTGCTGGCAGTGTTCTTCATTTAGTTTTAGCTTTACGTGGAGGATTTTAATATAAAAAAAAAAGAAAATCTCATCTTTTTGTTCTTTTGTAATATTTAATTCAATAAACAAGAAAAATATTTTAACTTTTTTTTAGATCAAAAAAAAAATCATGAGTATGATTAAAAAAAAATAATTGATTTTATAAATTATTTTATTGTATTTATTCAGTTTCAAAAAGCAAA